ACGTGCCTGTATTGAATATGATTACGCATCGCTCCAGTAGAGTTATTGTAAGACAATTTGACATTACACAGTTTACACAAAACTTTTCCATTTCCTTCTAATTCAAAATAATCCCACACCTTGCTCGTCTTTTTGAGCTCGCCACAACTGACACGAAGAAAAGTCAAGCGAGGACTGAGGTAAAAATGTAGTTTACACCCAGTTACATCTATCATCTATCATCTATCTATCTATCATCTATCTATCTATCACTGTTAAAACTGAAAATAAAATTAAAACCATTAAAAAAATTATGTTACTTGAAATAAACTAAATATTAACTTTTATTTCAGTTATATACATATAAAAAAAAAAAAAAAAAAAAATATTAAACATTATTAAGAATAGATATTAATTCAAAAACATATTTCAGCTATATTCAGCTGCAACATTTTTCAATTTCAATAAAAAAATTAATTAAAAATGAATAAAAACAATGTAGATATATTTATAAAAATAATAAAAATGACAAAAACACAGTAAAATTACTTTCAGGATCATTATACTTAAAACTGAAATAAAATTAAAACCGTAAAAAACATTTTCATTACTTGAAATAAATATTAATCATAACACAAAATACAATATAATGCAAAATACAGTTTTATAACTAATGAAGCACTCACAGTCAGAACATTTAATCAGTTCACCTTCCAGGTGGGTCTAAGCTTAATTTTGGACCGGTCTTTTAATTTCACCCCGAAGCTTTTCAAAGGCGATTAGGTGAAATATCTTTATGTGAACATGGGTTAATTAGCCCTTTGAAAGGGTCTGAAGGATCTCTGTTAAGTCCTCTCTGACGCTCGTGTCTGACGGCTCTGGGATTTATTCTGGATTTCGAGTGCGTCCCTTAATGGTCCGTCTGGATGTGGCGGCACGTCTACGACATCTAAAACCCACCAGAGTAACTCAAGCTAACCTGTGACGCACCGATTTAGCGTATATGTGTGTTCACAAATCTAGTCTTATCTGGTCTAGACTAACAGCTTCAATGCTACGATGCATTTGATCACATTAGCGAGCGTGGGATGTTAACGGAGACTTCTCTAGGGTTATTTCTGACATGCTGCTAATCAACGCCCGTCCCCCTGCTGTCCCGTCACCTCTGAGACGCTCCTGACTATGTATAATTAATAAACACGGGCTGAAGACCCGTATCGATCCGATTCCAGCCCCAGAGGATCATGGGTAGGGAGTTTACCTTGCTCTTGGATATGGAGTGTGAGGAGTCTTCTTTCAGAGGCAGGATTTCGTCTTTGCCACGATCAAAACCTGCAAAAACAAGACATCGTGATTCAACTCAACCGGTTAGGCTGATATTTCACAATCATCTAAAAAAATAACAGGTGTAAACAGCACAAATCATCATGTTTATAATGTATGTGCATAAATGTTTTGACTTATAAGTACACAATTATGTGTTTCAGTGTTATTTTGGTATCATTAATATACTATTATAGTTTTACTTTCTATTTTGAATTAGTTTTTATTTTCCATTTCCATTTTAGTTAAAGTGTTAATAATTTTGTGTTTTTTGGTCATTTTTATTTTTATTTTTTATAAATATGTCTCTATGTCTCAGGGTTATTTTATTTAACTAAGACAACTAAAACAACATAATAATAATACTAAATAGCAATAAAACATTTTATTCCAGCTAGCTGCCAATGCAATATTTCTCATTTTCATTTTAGTTTAATTTGAAGTACTAAAATGACTAAAACTAAAAATGAAATAAAATAAAAACTATAAACATTAATATAAAAAAAAATAATAAAAATTACAAAACACAACAAAATTACTACAACTTTAAATAAAATTAAAATGTAAAATAAAATAAAAAACTGATTCAAAATATTAGTAAAAACTATAATAGTATCTCAATTGTACTAAAATAACACTGCTGTGCATATAAAAATATTAAATAAAATATAAAAACCTCACTGTTTTGTTCGTCCTGTTTTTTTTCCTGTGTAAAATTCATCACCAAATAAGGCTGAACATAAGTCATGTTATGTTATGATGCAATAAAAAGAAATATTAGAAACAAATATTAGTGATAATATGCATATACACACACAAATATACATGCAGGATTTTCATGATACCGACACCAGTGAAATTTCACAAGTCTCAACACCACCGACAAGTCTAAGAGAGATTGGTTACATGTTGCTAATAAACAAGAAGCCAGAAAATGCAATATGTTTTCAGCTTACACTTATGAATAGTGGTTTATTTATTTAGCATTTAACACAATATCCACATCAAATGCTATATTCATGGCAAACTCAAGAATAATAACATTTAAAATAATTATAATAACAGTAATACTTCAATGACTATATACAATAATTCCCAGGAGAAATTTATTTATTTATTTTGGTAAACAGTGGCATTTTCAGAGACATTTCAGTATTTTATCAGCTTCACCTGCTCCATATTCAGCTGCACTCAGGTATAAAATCTGATCCCAGACCTGTACCCATTAGGGGTGTGCGATATATATCGTCTGCGATAATATCGTAATTGACCACCACACAGAATATGAAGAATATTAAAAACATTAGGAGTCAGCTGTCTTCGGCAGTCCTTAAGGTACCAGCACAATAACACACAAAATATCTTCTAATTATCGTTATCGATAAAATCCCATAAAATATCAAGATATAATTTTTTGTCAATATCGCACACTCCTAGTACAGATGCTTTATCCAAAGCGACTTACAAATGAGGACAATAGAAGCAATCAAAACCAATAAAAGAGCAACAATATAATATAAGTGCTGTGACAAATCCCGGTTAGTCTAACGCAGTACACATAGCAAGGGTTTTTTATTTTTATTTTTTTATAATAAATAGAAGGAATAAAAAGTAGATAGAGCTAGTGTTACAGGGTCAAGTTATTATTATCTTGTATAATAATTAAAAGTAGATAGAATAGGAAAAGAATAGACAATGCTATTGTTAGAGGGTCAAGTTTTTTTTATCAATAAAAAGAAAACAAGTAGATAGAATAGAAATAGAGAGTGCTAGAGTTAGAGGATCAAGTGTAGATGGAAGAGATGTGTTTTTAGCTGTTTCGTCTGCCTCTTTAGGACGGCACTATAATGCGCCGTTCACTTGCAGAATGCAAGCTTCTAGAGGGCACATAACTCTGAAGTAATGAATTTAGGTAAAGTGGTGCAGAGCCAGTGCTTGTTTTGTAGGCAAACATCAATGCCTTGAATTTTAATGCAAGCAGCTAATGGTAGCCAGAGCAAATTGATGAACAAAGGTGTGACATGCGCTCTTTTCGGCTTGTTAAAGACTAATCTTGCAGCGGCATTCTGGATTAATTGTAAAGGTTTGATAGAACTGTCTGGAAGACCTGCCAAGAGAGCATTGCAATAGTCCAGCCTGGACAGAACAAGAGCTTGAACAAGGAGTTGTGTAGCATGTTCTGATAGAAAGGGCCTGATCTTCTTGATGTTGTATAAGGCAAATCTGCAGGACTGGACAGTTCTAACAATGAGGTCTGTGAAATGCAGCTGATCATCAATCATAACTCCAAGAGGCCACATCTTTCAAGAGCCGAGCCTGATTTCAGCTAAAGCAGAATCTGTGATTACTTCAGTCCCGCAACCATGAAAAAAATATCTGTGTGACGGCTGTATCAACACTTCTGAGTGCCATGAGGAGGCACACACACACACACACACACACACACACACACACACACAGCTTCTAAACATCACTTGAAAATAACAGGCGTAAACCGCATAAATCACACTTATGATGTATGTGCTGATGTGTACTAGAGTTTTTGACTTATTTGTGCACAAGTGTGTGTTGCAGTGCTATTTTAGCATAATATAGCTTTTATTAATATTTTAAATTAGTTTTCATTTTTATTTTATTAATTTTAGTTACATTTTTTGTAATTTTGCTGTGTGTTTGTCATTTGTTTTTTTTTTTAATATAGGTTTTTGAAATATATTTCTAAAAAATATCATTTATATAGTTTTATGTTTTTGGTTTAAAGTTTTTGGTTGGTTGTATTTAAAATTAGTTATTGCCATATCACATACCGATTAAACATGCAACAATATAATAAACACAGTACAATAAAAACCAACATTATATAAATTAAACTTAAAACCTTGTAAAATATAAAAACAGACAAGATATTGTACACACAGTTCCATAAAAGATTCATTAAATGTACTAACATTAATGTTAATAAAAATAATTGCAATTGCAAAGTTTTTCAGGTTCAAAGATTTAAGATTTAAAAAATTCAAAGATTCAAAATATTAAGAAAAACTAATAGTTTCACAGTGATACTAAAATAACACTGCTGGGCTATAAATATAACTATCTTCACTGTTTTTCAGTTCATGTTTATTTTATTTCAAGTAACTCAATGTTTTCATGGTTTGAGTTTTAGTTTAGAAGGTGACAGGTCAATGGATGTGTGACCCTGAGGAAAGTATAACCCTTCATCGTTATCAAAAAACAGATTCATAAGATAAGGCCAAGGACGATGCATCAATGTAACATCTGTCAAGACTAGTTAGTTTCTCAGACAACTATAGCACAACTGTCACTTTATATAACATCTCTACTTGACGGAGTCATTGTCTCGGCTTTGTTGGGCTAAAGTGGAAGAAATTATGATTGAAGACACCATAAAATAACTTAATAAATGCAGTTTTCTGTCCTATGTTGGTCTACTGACATTCTGACTTTTCTAAGATTGGACAGGATGAATCACAAACCTTTTTATAAAGTGCTATTTGTTATTTAAAGACATTCCCAGTCCAGAAAGCAGCTTTATTGGACAAAAATATGCATACGCCCCTGCAGAGGATGTAAAAACAGCAATATTTTTGGTGTGTTTTCCCCTGAAGAGAAAGACTGCAACATTTGAAATGCATATACATCGTAAAAAAAAGATTTTTCGAAGGAGTATGTTTTAAAAGAAAATATTATTTCAGTCTTTCCACTTTAAAATTAAGTTATTTGCCGTTTCTTTATAATTCTTTGTGAAATTTACTAGCCATTTCTGAGCAAAAATTGTTTACACTTAATTTTTTCAGTGTATCTGCTAAAAATTTTATTTGACTAACTTTATGGTACTTTTTATATAGATATATTACATACAGATGATCTCAGAGCACAAATACTGACAACTCAAGACATTTTGGCCCGGTTTAATCACAGATACTCAATAGCAGGCGACTCTTTACTGCTATATGAGTCACGCAAGAGGCTCTAATAAAGGAAAATTGTGCTTTTTACTGACAGAATGGGACTGTTTTCAAGCTCTTCAGCGTCTGCATCAAGCCTCAAGATTATAGCATTATAGTCTCACCTGATGTTTTTGGATCAGGGCGAGCTGCTGCGGATGCAAATGACGACCCATCGATCGGGTAATCAAGTCTATTGTTTCCGGTTTCTCCTCCGCAAACTGGGCCAAGGATTGTGTTCATCTCGGAAAAACAAGCCACTCCAAGAGCTCTTCAACATGTTAATCATACGCAGAAAAATCCACACGTCCTCAACCTGATGAGAGCATCAGCATAACTCGTCTATTAGCATATTAGCCACCTATTCTGCGCCGCATAAATCTGCATTAACCACGCTTTCATTTAACAACAGGCTCATGTGTGTCAGGATGTAGTTTTACTTCACAATCTACTGGAACTGGAAAAACTATCCTACTGATTAAAGTGGACACACACACACACACACACACACACACACACACACTCACACTGTATCAGTCTCTGGATATCTAGTCTCCGACCTCAAGTCTGTCCTTAAAAAACCAAACAAACAATAAGCATGAGCGACCTTTAAATTCCTCTGTCCTGTCAGTTTAGATTTATTCATAAAACACATCCCTAAAACTCAATACGTTTACATTGCATTTAAAAATGTAGAATTACACTTTTGATAAAAGTCTAAAATACCGTTTTTTTTATGACCAAAATAAATTATTTGTAATTGTTCTGATCACAGATATGAAGAACGGATCAATAATTAGTTTTATTCCACATTTTTAAATGACTATAAAAATCATTAGACTACAAAACAAATTCAATATTTGTCAATATTTAATAATAATATTAACAATAATTATTAGGATTATTTTTGTTGTAATTGAATGATTATTTATTATTGTGATATTTTATTTATAATAATAATAATAATAATACAGTTTTATTAAAAACTTTTAATAAAAATATTGCAATTATAAAAATCATTAGACTACAACAAAAAAACCTTGCATTATGAATATTTACTAATAACAATAATATTTTTTTTGTTGTAGTCTAATTATTTTATTATTGTGGTGTTTTCATTTACACAACAACATTACAACAACAATAATTGCTTTATTATAAATAGATATATTACAATATTAAATAAAAATCATTAAAGAAAAAATTAATTATCAAGCAATATTTTGAAATTACCACAGAGTCAAAGTGTTTACACTTTTCAGGGGATATATATATATTTGAAATGTTTTTTATATGTGTTATAGTTGTCTCTGCATATTAAACTGGGATTTACGCATTTTAACATCCACTAACTCATCCCAGAGTCTGAGTCTAGTTGATCTGTAATTGTTGTCATAACACAGACATTTAGCGCCGAGCTACAGGAACACAGCAAGACGACAGCTCACTCCACGAGGAGCGAGAGGAGACATCTGTGTGTGTGTGTGTGTTTAATAAGCCCTAACGCTGCGTGAGTAATAATCCACTCATAAAGCAGGACCTCACAGTCAGACTGATCATTAGCCAGAACTGAGACACACAGAGAGAGAGAGAGAGAGAGAGAGAGATGTCTTGGACTGGATCTACACAGAAAATCTGAAACTGAAAAGCACCGACAGATCTTTGTCAGACAGCAGCTCTGCAGACATTCACCTGCTTATCAAACATTCAGCACACGTGCCTGCAGACCGACAGACAGACAGACAGACAGAGAGTCCAAGCACAGATAAAACTATCACTGCCGTCTGCTGAACAACGCTGACTCCCGTATGTCTGCACTATATTTGAATAATGTAAGCGAAAACAACCCAGAGAGGGTGATCAGGACCCGACATGAAGCTCGAACCCTTCAAATGCATTGTGCAGCATGTTTCCGTGTGTATTTGTGTTTGTCTGCAGTGAGAGAGTGACGTGTCGGATATTTCCACACTCCTGCAGCGTCCTTGACTACGGCAAACCAGCAGAGACGGGTGTAATTCCACCCCGACCGCCCTCGCAAGCTTCAGTCCATCTGAAGGACAGAGACCATCGTCTAGAAACAGACTAACTATCTGTTTAACACTTCATATGACAGACGTGCCACATATGAGTGATTCTACAGACTTAAAATGTTGTGTTCAGGTTTTCTGTTCTTCAAAATGTTAGTTTATGTCATCGCATTGGACTAAAACCTACCGACATTGTTGACACAGGGTATAACAACTAATTTTTGTACTTTTTTGGGACTTTTTTCCCCCACCCTGTTACATTTGTAGTGTAACAAAAAGATTATTATTATAAATAAAAATATTACAAATATAACAATAATAAAAAATATTGTACTACAACAAAAAACGTGCATAATGAATATTCAATGATAACAAAAACAACAACTATAATATTCATATTGCAATTTTTTGTTGTAGTCTAATAATTTTTATCACTGTAATATTTTAATTATAACAACAACAATATTGATTTCATAATGAAATTCAATATAATTATTGTTAGTTTATATAATAATAATAAGAATTATTATTGTTATTATTTTTATTATGTTATTTTTGTTATTACTAAATATTCATAATAGTAGTTTGGTTGTGTAATCATTAAAAATTTTTAATTGTTATTAAGTAAATAATTCTTATATTAAATAATAATAATAAATATTATTCTTTTTATTATTATTATTATTATGCAATATTCTAAAATCATATTGATATATTCTAAATGCATATATAATAATAATAATAATTATTATTATTGTTATTATTATTATGCAATATTCTAAAAATATTCTATACTTTTACACCTTGTTACACTTGTGGTGTTGGTCAAAAATGGCCGGCCTACAAAAACAAAAAAAATCATTATGCTATATTATTACAAAATATGAGCTCAAGCACCTCAGTTTTGAGGGAATATTGCCAAAATTATGCAAAAATAATGTAATTTTTCCACTTAAAAACTGAAGTGCGTGAGCTCAGACCAATGAGGCCTACGATCAACCCGATCCAGAAGGAAATCTGAAAACCTGTGCTAACGGAAAGAAAACAAGCTGACAAAAAGACTGAACCCAAGATTTGTTTATAATCTAGCATAAAAAGATATTTACAAGCAATTTTTAAAAGGCTAGTCATTTTTGATCAGGAACACCAAATTAGGTAAAGGATTTTTAGCACAGCACAAAGTTAAAACTGGTTTTCACCCTCTACACTTGACAATGTGAGCATCACAACCTCATTAATGCAGAACAAAGCAAAAACACCACGTCCTTGCGGCACAAAGATAAATGGAGTATTACTGCGAGTCATCCGGTCAGCACACAGGTGTCAAGACGGGAAATGCACCTTTGTTTTTGAGCACGCTGTATATTAATAGTCACACATCTGTGCTAATCTGCCAGCTCATACAGTAAAGTGCAGATCCGGAGCGGCGCGCTGAAAAATCAATCTGTGGGATAATAAAGCTCAACTTATTCTGGAAGTAAAAATTTTGGTGAAAATGGATGAATCTTTTAAGACAAATCAAGCACTCTAAGATTTAGCAATTGCATCTGTCAACTTAGTTTAACTTCATTAAAAAAAGCTGATTACAAAACAAAAACTTTTATTTTGGATGCGATTAATCGCGATTAATCGTTTGACAGCACTAGTTAAAATATAATTAGTTGTGGAACAATCAATATTCAAATAGTTAAAATTAATTAAATATAATTTAATATTATTTATTAAAACAAAAAAAATATTGATGATAAATAAATAAACCTTGTTAATGTGTATTTAAAATATATTCAGTTTTTAGTAATATTACAGAAATCTTACTGTTTTATTATGGAGGACGAAACCTGCAAAAACAATAAATAAATAAATACACAAATAAATAAATAAATGTCTGTATAAATACACAAATTCTTGTTTAAATACATATAGAAATAATTAAACATGTGATTAAAGTAGGCAAATAAATAAAATAAATTGGTGGAATGGAAAATGTTTAAGGAAATGCTAAACATCCTATTTATTTTCCTTTGATCACTCATTTATTTCTGATTGTAGTTCCACTTTTATTTTTCCTCTGCGCAACATGCTAATGAGAGGGGTCATGTCATAGCTGGGGGCGCGGCTTTCCCGCTGACAGGAAATGCATGGTGTAAATCCAGTATGGCCTACGTAAAGTCACTTTTTCCGTTTAACAGAGCAGGATACATAAAAAAACTGAGCTGTATTGTCCGTACAGTATCTGTGACTTTACAAACGACCCAAAGAAATGGCCAGTGTCGTTTCCTGACGTCATTTTTTGTAACCCGATTGAGTCTCCAGCTAGAGACAACTGTAATATCAGTATCCCATGGTCATCGTGAGATGACTGGTATGAAGTGGTTTAATCGAGGAACAGACAGTTTTTTCCCATTAGTTATCAGAACAGAAAATACAGGCGACAAAAGTATGTTTATTAAGCAAATAACGGTTCAGTATTGCAATTAAGAGCTATGTAAGCATTAATATTTTACATTGGCCACTTAAAATCTTTTATGATTTAGCTCTCTCATGATTATAACTACAAAACTAACCCTATGAAGAAGTGTAAGATAATAATCAGTACCCTTGACTGATGAAGTTAATACGCATGCGCAGGCAAACGCTCAAGCGCGTCACACACGATCCACCTACTCTTGCATAATTGACACCCTCTCATTAGCATGTTGCGCAGAGGGAATAAAAAAGTGGAACTACATTCAGAAATAAATGGGTGATCAAAGGAAAATAGTTAGGATGAGTTTAGCATTTCCTTAATCATTTCCATTTGCCCACCAATTTATATTATTTATTTGCCTACTTTCATCACATGTATAATTATTTATTTATGTATTTAAACAAGAATACGTGTATTTATGCACACATTTATTTATTTATTTGTGCATTTATTTATTTATTGTTTTTGCAGGTTTCGTCCTCCATATTTTATGACTGACAAATGTGCATTACATTAAGTTTATTATTTATTGTTTATGTTAAAACTGTGTAATCCAAATGGATATCATTTTTTTTATGCAATCCAAATATAAAATCTTACATTTAGGCCTAAATAATTTATTTTCAGTAGGCTACAATAAAAACACAAAAACCCATCTGAATCATCTGAAGTCCTACAAAATTAAGTTCATTCATTCTGCAAACATTTTACTTAAAAAAAAGAAAAAAAAAAAAGAAAAGAAAAAGTGATGTACTTCTGAAGCAGTCAGTTTAGTTATGCTTATGGGAAAATGAATGAGAAAAATAAATGATCTCTGTTGAGCTCTGCATCTTTATCCACTATAATGACACATGAAGCTGGATCTGAGTGACACAGTATTAAATCAAAGCCATTACCCTCTGAGCGAACCCCGCTGATTTTCACACAGGTGAACGTGACGCGCAGATAAGATTTGCACGAATGCAATGTACTCTGGGTCCATTAGCTAATCTCTGCTCAGTGGACTCCATTAAAATGCTAAAAAAGGATAATGATAATGAAAATGCCGGGTAAGCGTACAGACATGAATTTTAAAACAAAAACACTATCCCTGAAGCATTCTAAAGGAAGACTAGCATCTGCCAGCGTCAGTACATCCAGAGCGCAGCGAGCGGCCCGCGTGCCTGAATAAGAGCATTTCATGCATCCCTCTCTTCTTCAAATCATAATCATGAGGGATAAATGGAGCGCAGGCCGCGCTGACATGAGTCAGATTCACTGTGAGAGCTGAAACTACTCAATATCTGCAGCAGAAACATCTGCGTCCTGCTCAACAGCTCGAGCTAAAGACCTTGAGTAGACGACAAAGCAAAAACAGTCCTGATTTATGCTATTTCGACCCGTATGATTAATTTCCCACCAAATGAGGTTTCAGAGAACTATGGAAATTAGAACTGGTTCTTCTTTGGAACCATTTAAATAAAATAAAAAAACACTGGAACCGAATGATTTGGTTCTTGAACATTATTCTTCTGCCGATGTAGACAGAACACAGTAGTAAAATATCTATAAATATAAAGACAATTTTATATAGTCAAAAATCAGTCTCAGGACCGATTCAAACAAGAAACTTCAGATAAACGGAACCATTATTATGTACATTACTTAATTATAAAACTTAATTAAGACTAAATTTATTAGGACTTGTAAGTGCAATTAATTACCAAAATTATTACAATAAATTCAAAAAACATTTAATAAAATATAATTAAATAAAAAGTTATTATTATTATTTAACAAATATTAATTAATTATATATTAAAAATATATTATAAAATATATTACCAAACATTTTGTTTTTGTTTTTATATTTTGGTTTTGTTTAGTATATTGTTGATATATATTTAGGATAAATTATTCCTTAATTATTTAAATAATAATGAAGGCGTTAAGTGGAACCAAAATTGTAATCATACAGATATATTATTATTAATAATAAATATTCATATAATAATATTATAGATTAAAAAAAAAACATAAAACCAGTACAGATGTAATACATTTAATATATTTTTTATTCATATTTTTTAATAAAAATATATTACTATATGTTTATAGATATATTATTAATAATAAATATTCATATAATATTATAAATAAAATATATATTATTACATTTTTATGGATATATTAATAATAATAATAATACATGAAAAAAAAAAACATAATACCAGTAACAAATGTATAAATTGTATATATTTTTTAATTAACATTATTTACTAAAAATAGGATAGGATAAATTATTCTTCAATTATTTAAACATAAAATATTTTTTATAAATATTCTTTATTATTTTTATAAATATAATAATATTATTAATAAAAAACTAGTAAATAATAGTATTTACTATTGAGTCACTATTGAGTCACTTTACTATTATGTTGGTCCTGCTTTAATGTTTTAATTATTCTTTTAATAATAAATAATTAACAAACAGTTTATACTAACTATATACTCAACAATACACTAAACAAAACGAGTACATTTTTGTTTACTATATTGCAGAGTATTTAGTAAGGATACATTTTTCTTTAATTTTTAAATGAATAATGAAGACTTTAAGTAGAACCAAAATCATAATAGTTAAATTCCTTATGATTCCCATCCCCAGTGCTGACTACAGAAAGATGTGCATTTAATAGCACAACGTTTTATTGAAGGTTGAAATGAATGTAATGCATCACACACTCAAAAAACAGTGATGCAATGAATAACAGATGCTGTCAGGTTAATGGATGCACTTTAGTTTGGAGAGCAGTCCAGAGTCAAATGCATACGTTCAGTTGACAGCAAGCTGCCAAAACAATAAAACTTAATAGACTGCTGCTACGTCCGTGATCGAAACTATCTGCCAAACAAATAAAACACGTAGAAGTTTCCCGAGATGGACCCACCTGGCAGGCAGACGGACAGCTCATTGTAGCCTCCAAACGAGGCGTTGCGTATGAGTTTGCGTCCGTCGGGATGGGGCGGCCGGCCCGAGATTGTTCCTCCACAGGTGGAGAACCGGCGGCGGCCCAGAATCCCATCTTGCTTCATCATGAGGGCGGCTGTAGGGTGGCCTCACCCTGAAGAGGGCGAGGCTGAGGGGCTGCGGTGGTAATTCGGCAGTCACCACACACACACAAACACATTCAGCTCTGCTCTACACACGTACTCCACTGCTGCTAGTACTACAGCTGACCGAGCGCTCTGAAGATACACTTACGCTCCCTCACTGTTACTCACTGCAGCTCCTCCCTCTCGCTCTAGAGCGGCTGTGTGTGTGACAGAGAGAGAGAGAGAGAGAGAGAGAGAGAGAGAGAGAGAGAGAAAGAGAGCCGTGGATCTCATTCTTGGACACCACTGACCATCAGTGGGAAAAAAAAAAGCTTCAAGCTGCGATGTCACTAGACACCTGTTTTTTCCCCAGTTTTATTCTGATCTGATTACATGATGTTTGTGGTGAATCTGACAAAAACGTGTCTGACTTATAAAAAAAAAAAATCTAATACATTTATTTTGGGTTTATTTATTTTAGTTTTATTATTT